ACTTTCAAGGCTTATAAGTGAGTATCCTACACCTAACGAAGATGCAGTGATCGCCTTAGTATCTACAAAGGATTACGCAGTTAACCTACTGAACTGTGCCGTCCGCGCACTTCCTGTCACGTCAGCTCAAGTGGAAAATGAATCCTGCAAGGATCATATCATACAGAAAGTCATGCATTATGTCCAGACGAAATGGCCGCGAAAATCGTTTGCCGGTGACCTGAAACAACTGTTCTGCAGAAGAGAATCCCTTTGTGTCGTCGGCAACTGCCTCATGTTCGGAGAACGTGTAGTGATCCCCCAGTCTCTTCGTGCAAAACTCCTAAAACAGTTTCACACTGGTCATCCAGGAATAGAACGTATGAAAGCCATCGCCAGAAGCTATGCTTATTGGCCGAATATGGACTCGGATATAGCTGGATTTGTCAGTCGCTGCGCATCATGTCAGAAGGCGGCTAAGAATCCTCCACGTCTTCCGCCAAAGAGTTGGCCATTGCCAGATCGACCTTGGTCTAGAATTCATATCGATTTCGCAGGTCCATTACATGGAACCTACTACCTGATCGTTGTTGATGCTTATTCCAAGTGGCCGGAGATTGTCGCAGTATCACCCGTATCATCACGCCGAACAATCGCGGCTCTTAAAAATATTTTCATCTGCCATGGGTTGTCCGAGACCATTGTTTCCGATAATGGGTCGCAATTCACCTCCCATGAGTTCGCAGAGTTTTGCAGTGTGAATGCAATCCATCACATTCGTACACCAGCGTACCATCCGCAATCCAATGGCCAGGCAGAAAGATTTATGGATACCTTTAAGCGGGCTCTCCTTAAAGCCGAAGGAGGAGGAGACACGGATGTTATAAAACAATTTCTACTCATCTACCGTCAACGCAAAATGACGCCCTACCAGACCACAAATCTCCTGCAGAAGTTTTAATGGGAAGGAAGCTACGTACGCCACACCACGCAATGCTACCACCACGTCGTGCACAGACAACGCAAACGGTGGGATCACATTTTAACAAAGCAGACTGCGTCTACGTACGAGACTACAGACCAGGACATGGCATGTGGACGGAAGGTGTTGTCATGTGAAGACGTGGGAGTGTGATGTACGATGTAATGTTGGATCAGGAGAAATGGGAGAGACACAAGAATCAGATGCGTCACAGAAAAGCCAATCAACCAGAGAATCCAACCATACCAATCGATATTCTGCTGGATACGTTTAATTTGCCAACAACGACGAAAAAGCCGAGCCCGAACTCAGCAATGAGCCCCTCCCCAGAAGATGTACGGATCGGAAGCGGTCCCAAACAGTGCGGTTCCAACTGGATCCTAAAAAGCGAAGGTATTAAAGTTTTCTGATTTTTTTTTCAAAAAGGGGGAGGTGTTGTGATGCCTCAGTTTTGTATAAAACATTGTTATTGATCTGAACATTTTAACGTGTCATCCCACATCGTTTTGGCGGTATGACTAATAGTCTATTTTCTGCCTCCATTGTAATGTAATTCGCAGATTGGTTAACTTTTACTCTTACTATGCGGACAAGGTCAGTTTTCATGTGTATACTTATTCACGTGTTTTGGATTGATTCATTGTTATTATTTATATTATACTCTCGGAGTAATACACTCTCCCATCTGCCAGCTTCGGTCTTCTCTCTATTCGTCCCGGGGTTGCAGCCAGTGTCTCTTGAGTACCAAGTTAGCCGTCAGCTAAGCGCGCGTATAATATTCGTTTTGGAATATATACATCTACCATTAGCGCCTCGAACCCATAACAAATACGTGTGGTTCATTACAGAGTGCATGGGTATGGTTGCTGAGACAGAGAAAATCCTCACTCTTAAAATATGGTCGGGTATATCAGATGTAGTGATTCCGAGTCGATATCAATGACTCAGATGCATTAGCTCTCTCGAACTTCCGCAAGTACTGAGTGTGCTAACAATATTTACCTCAAATCTTTTCCTTGCATTATGTTTGGTTTAGTTATGCTTTTTATTCTTGTTGATACCGCAATGCAGAGACAAAAGTCAGTATACACCAGTACTATTATTTATAATAACATCTTAAACCTAATACTCAACATTAAATAATCCGATTACTGCCTGATTGGATCTGGCATACTACAGAGGCGTACGGGCGGTTGACACTTCCTGGTTGCCTATATAGTGCAAGGCTTACTTCTTTAGGCACCTGAAAAAGAAGGGTTAGTGCGTGACTACATGGCCCAAAGCGTATCTACTTAAGGCCTTTATGCAAACCTTGGGATTTCAGCTATTGAACCCAGGCCGCCGACACTGGCGTGTCGCAGGATAGTGGGGAGTGTACCATTTTTAGGGCTGACCTTTCTCAACTCTCTCTTTTCCATAGGAAAGACAGGAAGAGTATGGCATTGTTGGTTATTAGTGGGAAACACCATACTGTTGTCGAGCCTCCAGTTAGCTAGCAGTACGACTTCGTCATCGTGTCCCCAATGATGGAGTCACAATTTACTTTACAATGGTAACGGTTTTTTATCTAATCATTATCCAACAGACCTCCCACCAGCATATTACGTCGGGTTCTTTTAATATGCAATCCCGACTACCCATCAAGGTAGCAGCTATTGATCGGATACGATATGACAATAGGGTAAAAGTGGGTGTTATCATACCGGCTTATTCTTCGCTATCCAAGTGAATAATGGCGGCACTAAAATATTCTGATAGAAATTTGTTTTTACTGATGCATATTTGAACTATGTGACTTGTGTAACACACTACTGCTATTTCATCAATCTGACTGCTATGATATGTCATGATTAGGCCTATGTTCCTGCAAAAATGATAGAGTGACTTCAAAGACCACCCTAGCAATGAACAAAATAACCGATTACGTTTCTTCATTTTGGTTAAAAACGCAGATTTTGATAAAATGAAGAAGCTTGATTGGTTATTCCTAGTTGTTGCTACGGTAGCCTTTAAAATGACACAACGACTACCTTTCTAGCCGGAATATCAAGACTTGATTGATTAATACAACAGCTGCTAGGGTGGTGACCTTTTTAAAGTCGCCTAAAATAAAATGTCGGAATTGAGGAGTGACTTTAAAGGCCAACCTAGCGACAACTGAAATAGCCAATTAGACTTCTCTACTTTATCAAAATCTGCCTTTCCAGTCGAAATGAAGAAACTTAATTGGTTATTCCATTTATTGTTAAGGTGGCCTTTAAAGACGCTCCAATTGAGTAGGGCACGTTTTTTGTATTTGGCTGTCACTGAATCATAAAGGTGGATGAAGAAAATATGAAATGAACTCAGCAACCTCGTGCACATTTATGCTGTAGGTAATGTGCCACACTTATTATGTGAGGACTAGTGATACTACTTAGCTGTCCAAACCTTAGTAACCAGGGTGGGGCTCGAACCGCGACCCACTGGGTTGAAAGTCACCGTAAAAGTATCATAGGAAAGAGAAGTTTTAGTGCCATTTCACGTGTATCACACTAATAAAACATTGAAATATGTAACTATGATTAGCTCTGAGGTTTTAAGTAATTTATTAGCCAATTACTATTTTAGACAACAGATTGACCTTTAAAAAACTATACCGTTTACTGAAGCAGAGTGGATGAAACAGAACTTCAATACACACACAAGTGTATACACTACTGTCAGTAAATTAAGTCTTCCAAGTGGTAATGATAATAATAATGATTACTTGGATACATTCAAAGAAATAGATTAAGTTTTTCTGTACGAATATGACCATACTAACCTTTCTTTCACTTTTTCAAGGTATTTGAATCTGCTTCTTTCTTTTTTTGTCTTTTGTAAGCACTTGAAACATTTACAAGATTTGACTACTACTTTTTTACATGGACACTGCTTATTGCCCCCCCTACACGCATACACAAAAACCTTTCAAAAAAGCCAGATATACAAAAAAATACGCAAGAAGGTTGCGAAGACCCAACAACGTCTAGATATATCATGCGATTTTTCGACAATTAATTTGATTATTATTGTTATTGTTATTTGTTGATACTTGTAATTACTTGTTGGTTAACACGACTAACGAGTCCCGAATGGGGCGAAACACGTGCGTCCTAGATTCCACAGCCAGCCACCACCAAGTGAATCATAATAATTTGGTTACCTTATTAAATTAACTAGAGTTTAACAAATATTTATACTGGATGATGATTGAAGGTGAAATGAAAATTTGAACCGCGGTCGGATTCGAACCAGCGACCGCTGGGTTACCAGCCCGGTGACCTACCAACTGAATTACGAGATCCAACTGCTGACCAGATATTTATTCCACTTCAATCACCAAGGGTTTCGCTCGATTGTCGTGTGAATTCGTGACGTGGAACTCTATCGCTTGATCGTACTCACGCATCCAGTCAGGACATCGTAGGTCAGTTGGTACAGCACCGGGCCGGTAACCCGGTGGCCAATGGTTTGAATCCGGTCGCGATCATTTCACCTTCAACCACCACCCAGTATAAATACTAGTCTGCCAAACTACGGCTATCTCAGTCAAATGATAATTTATTAAATATGCTGATGATATGAAGAAAATAGTTTTTTTAAAACCCTTATACCCTTGTTTGTTCTTAATATTACTATAGTCCCATTTTTCACTTCTTTCTTAGAGAGACTTGAAAGGCCACGTTAGCAACTGCTGAAATATCCGATGAACCTTTTGCATTTCAGCTGGGAAGGTAGTTATTTTTAAGACAAAGAAACATGATTGGCTATCTCAGCAGTTGAGAGGGTGGCATTTAAAGTTACTCCCTTTTCTAACTTGGATATTATGAATGAGTCTGCGCTTAACGAACATGAACTTGTATAGATAAGCTGACCTCTAATTGTGATGTCTTTTATCTACATTTTTTAAAGTGTAATCTTTATTGTCCTCTATATGTCTTCATAAAAAAAATTGAAATACCGTCCAATCAAAACTAACTGTATGATAGGAGTAAAAATTCCATTGGTTACTTACTTTCATGTCTGCTTCACGTATTTTACGGATACAATGTTCAACATTTTCAGTTGACTCATAATGAAATGTGTACTGAGTTGCACCGGCAGATTTCATATTATCAATCCACTATTACGAGTAATTGGATATAGTGTATATTATATGTGTATTGAATTCGGCAAGTGGAAGAAAAAACAACAAACAAACTACAATGAAATTTTGAGGTTAATGGAAGTTTTATTATTAAGGTAGTATACATCAGAGACAGACATCAGTTGCTAGAATGGTTAACGCGTTCGTTGCGAAGCTAGAAGGTCCTTAGTTCGACCTCTGGGAGGTCGTGGGTGTGCTGCTGAGGAGGAATCTCATACCAGGACGAAACTTCTGTCTAGTGCTCCCAGATTTCCAATGATTCTCCAACTGATGTCAGCCTATAATGCATACTACCCTAAGGATCAAACAATTGTCTCATCAATGATGAATATTCTCTTACAAACAATGTTTACTACTCAGTGCTAGGCAGGTAGAACTTCTATGTGGTACAGTAGTCGTTTCTTGGCAGCCTTTGTAGAGATTTTAGAAACATGTAAAGTAAGCGGATGACACTAAGTTTTAACTTTAATCATCTGCATAAAATCGTGTTCGTCATCAGTATCTGAAAGATGTGCTTCTGATGATACAGCTTGCAATTTCGCGTTGTTGATTGGACCAAACTGATAAAGTACTGCGCTGATGCCCGATGCTACTAGGATTTTCAGTTAGATATTGATGGTGGATAGTGGCCAGCAATGGCATCCGGGACACGCGTTTCCTCCTATTCGGGACTCGTCAGCTGGATACACCTGCCTCTCAGTGAGTGGTCACCCCCAGGACTCGAACTTAAGACTTGTCGCTTCAAATGCCAGGTCAAATCTTATAGATCTGATAATTTCCCGGTTATCATATTTCACCAACAAGTTAGCTATTCATTTCTCCTATCCACCCACCGCCTTCACCACCTTTCCATTAAGTCTGAAATCTCCGACATATAAAGATTTATACCAAGTTCTACGTTGTTAATGGCTACCAGCAAACTACTATGCAATCGGTTTTAAGTAAATCTGAGTGATTCATTGTCGTTTTGGTTAATCAGCAATACAAAACTATCTAAACATAATATCAACTCTTTAGTATATTCGTGTTGACCATTCAGTCATAAAATCCTCTTCTCTTTGTCCTGAGATTGGATACTCTCTTTGCTCGCTCTCACCCTTGACATATTGACTTGAAATGTGACAACCGAAACTGTCATGCAATAATGTTTACATCTTTGAATAATGCATCAATTAAGAAGACACTGTTAGATGACATTATTTTACAGTTTCTTTACCAATACTGACAAACAATTTATTATTGTAAACCAAGTTAGCTGTTCTGTAATTGTACAGAAACTAAGAAATCCCATCATTTCTCAATATTTGTCTCCTTGAATGCTTTATTTAAATTTATAAAAGAGACAAGATGTTTATATCTGTCTATGTTTCATGTTATGAAGTTGTTGCCGCCGTCTAAGCCCTTCGAGTTGCATAATCTCTTGGACTATAATCTAGAGAGAAATGAGGCATCTACAAATGAAAACCAAACATAACTAACTGCTCTGCACCATATCATCAGGCCAAACACTGACCACCCCTCCGCTTCATTTAACGAGTTGGTTAGCAAGTGAATCGTTAACGGTGGGCAGGAGATGCCAAAATGACACTTGTGATGAGTGTATAAGTCAATGGATTTGACATTATGTTTCCACTGAATGCGAACAATCATGCTGAGACAATGCTGATCGAACACGCATAGTTGTCGAACATTCTCGGATGCCAAGTTTCAGAAATGTACAGCAGACCTACTCATGTCGATGTGTTCTCAAAACGACCTATTCACAGACAGGTTAGCATCACAACAGTACTCAAGGTGACACGGACTGGGGTATGCCACTCTAGCTTTAGATGTACATGAAATTGTACCAGTTACATCTTTGGCAGCAGCTGCAGAAATACCCAAGTACATAAGCTTTACGAATATTTTCAACGGTTTAACGTGAGTGGTAACAGCAGCATAGGTTCCTGCAAATCTTTCATAGGTGCTCCGAAATCTGATGATAGCAGAAAATACAGTACTTATGGACGTTGACTGCCAGTTGATTGAGTGCAGTTTCAACAGCTTGTGTAAAAACGATATCGTCCGCATACTCAAGGTAAAGAAGTCTTCACCGCAGGACATATTGAAGATGAGATGCTGGATGGTGCATTGTTGGCATTTAGGTTAACAAACTAGAGGAATGATAGTCAAGAGTAAGAATGGTGCTATCGGTGTTTCTACTGAAGGGTGATAAAGTAGAAGGAAACTGACTTACCTTCTCTGAATCGCAGTTCAAGGTGAAAAGATCTTAGTGTCTTCTGATAACTATGCGATTGTTACTATCTGTTGTATGAAGGTCTATGATGCCATCTGGCAGCTAAAAATCAGGAATAGAAAGATTCGAACACGTGTCTTAATGGTTGGAAGTTCACTGTCTACACCAATAACCTAGTCCCTTCTGTCCTGTTATGCGGATGCAAGACATGACCGTTAAAAGTAAAAGACATGATCACATGTATCTTCGTAGCATTACTCACGTTCGAGGAATCATCATAAGAGGGATTTAGAAGTTAGACGAAAGGTACTAGACAAGAGAGGTAAGTCAATTAATGAGGCTGTGAACCTTCATCAATTGAGATGGCTTGGACATATACTACACATGCCCATCCCCAGCCTACCTCGGCATGCCATGCTAGCGGAAGAAGGTCCAAGATGGTAGCCAGACCAAGACGTGATATCAGTCGGTGAGGTCTCGAACTGTTGACCTGAGCCGTGTTCGGAAGTGCAGACCATGTGGTTTGGGTCCTCAAGATCATCGGAATCAGTGGTTGAGGACTCTACGTGACATAGCTGGAAATCGGCTACAGGGTTGCAGATATGTTCACTCTGTGATGTCTTCGAAAGCCTGAATATTTCCACTAGCCTTTATCTTGAAATTGTTTCTCCTCCAATACACCTTTATCTACTTTGATCTCATTCCTTTTCTATCCACTTGTTCTTTTTATACTACTATGAAGTGTGGCAACTTGAACCGATGGACTTGTGTGTGAAGTTCTACGTTGGTTCAGTCTGTCTGCCACCAATGAGCTACAGTTCCAAAAATATAATTTTTCAGTTTTTTCTAACAGAAATCATTGCTGTTTTATCAAAAACAAGAACTACCTTTTCTGGTTTCGAAACCATCATATGCAGGTCTAAAAATGTTTTGCACGGAAGATGTTGTTTCAAAGAAGCCACGACAGGATGACCAATCGTTATATTAGGCACAAAATGTCCATCCATCACATCAAGGTGTAAATAATCTGCTCCAGATTTAAGTAGAGTATCACAAACATCAGCCAGTTTGGACAAATCTGCATTTAATATTGACGGTCCGATAAGTATTGGTTTTGAGCAAATGTGAGTCATTTAATCTGAACGAATAGAACAGAAGGCACAATAATGATAGATACAAGTGTACATTTAGAACAAAAAGATCTGTAAAAAGAGCGCAAAATATGTGCCTAACCTGCTTAAAAATATTTTTTAAGTAGAATTCGTCATGGACTAACATCGGTTAAAAGACCATTAAAAACCTGAGAGTACTGGACAGTTGTCACCGTTTCCCTTATTGAGCGACGGTAGCTGAAGTAAATTCTGGCTGAAATAAAGCAAGAGGGAGTGAGACTTACGCATAACATTAGTCTTGATAAGCTGTCACCTTGAGCTTACTTTCAACCCAATCTTAATTCAGCCAAAATCACATACTAAGGTAGGCGGTCACTCTGCATGTATGACACATGTTCAAGCCACTTTAGTCAGAGAGAATCATAACGTCATAAACTGATTTGCGCTCTTTACCCTTCGCTTAACCACGAGATAGAATACAAGGTGACTTCACCATAAGAGAGCAGATAGAGATAAAATCAATGTAGAACTTCGCACAAAAGTGCATCACTTATCACACTTCACGGTAGCATGGAAAGAACAAGTCGAGAGAAAAAGATTGATATTAAAGTGGAAAAAAGTTTATGGGAGGTGAAACGCTTTTTAAAATTAGGGCGAGTCAAAGTGTCCAAACTTCAGAAGGCGTCAAAGAGTGAATACGTCTGCGACGCTGTGACAAATTTTCAGCCATGTCGCCAACCACTGACTCCCACTATAAGAGGACTCCAGCCCGGTGATACAAACATCCCTATGCCGATCAGAGAAACATTCAAGGACTTCACTGAATGGTACCACATCTTGGTCTGAACATCCTGAGATTTCTTCCAGCCAAATACAACTTCCGCTAGCATTGCACGTACAGGTAGGGGGTGGCTTGGTATGAGCAACACATGTCCAAGCCTCCTTAGTCGATAAGGATTCATAACCTCATTCCCAGTACCATTCGCTTAACCTCGAAATCGCTCGTACAATGATTTCACTACACGAAAGCGATTATAGAAAGATACCTATAGTTAAGTACCCGTAATCTCTTCATATAATCTACTTTTAGTACCCATTCTTGACAGCCATATGATAGACAAGAGAGGATTGCAGAGCAGTATACTCATCGTCTAATTGGTAGTCAGATATCTCACCGGTGCCAGAGATGACCCAGGTTGAAAAACGTCAAACAGGCCTTCTGTATGCGAGCTGAGACTTTGTTAGTAACCAGCCTATTTGGGATGATGCGACTTCCTAAGTAAGTGGAGTGGTCAACGTATTATACCACTTTACTATCTATCCTTATACTGGGAACAGGTTCTGACGATCCATGAAGCATGATTCTATATTTGACAGATGTAAAGGGCATGTCAAAACATACTCAAATGTTTGCTTGAGGCATTCAGATGACTCCGCATTTTGTTATCATTTTCGCTTAACAGGACAATGCCGCCTGGGTAGCCCTGGTCAACCAGGTGCTCTACAGGGAATAGTCCAATCCATGTAACATCATAGGTGTCTAGAGTTATATCCACTAGTATGTCTATAGCGAAGTTAAACAGAAACGCTGATAGTGGGGGAGTTCATGGCAGACATCAAAGTTTTTTTCTCGATTCAGATGGCAACTCCCCGCAAGTCCTAGCACAGCTCTGTGAGTTCAAGTAAATGTCTTGATTAGCCCTACACACACTTGCCCAGAACTCCCTTCAAAGTTAAATACTACCACCACCTCTAAGTCAACAGTTGAATGCCGTCTTCAAGTGAAAAAATATGGCAAGTGTAAGCCGCCTGAAAGTATGTCGGTGTTCTAAAATCTATTCGAGGGTGAAATCCTGATCGATGCACCCTCATCTAGGTCTGAAACGCCTGGTCTTCTCAAGTTCTGATTAGATACCGTATAACTATGGCCTCTAGGATCTTGGGTATGATGTAAGTCGAACTGATCCTCACATGACAGTCACAAGAATACTTATATCCCCCCATACAGATTGGAACAATCATAGGTCTAGACCAATTCGAAGGAAATACTTCTGATTCGCATAGACTACCTAGCATCTCCGTTAGTCTACCAGATGATTTTATACCTGCGTCCTTAAAATCCCCTAGTGGCAGATTGTCGGGTCCTACTGCTTTGTTTCAGATTTGAAACAACCCTCTCAACTCCAAGGAGAGTTGGGAGACCTACATCTATGTTGCATTCAGATTTAGGCTATGTGCTAGGAAACTGGCAGGCCATTTGAACTGTGCATCAGCATTCCACTAAGTGCTATAGCCACCTCTGTTAACAACTTATCTTCTTCGGGGATCGTCACACGGAACATGGTCTTATTCTTGCTATTATCCTTAATAAACCTAAATAATTGCTGTATAGTACCTAATGCTGATGCCCTCTGTAACTCTTTTGCTTTCACCACCCACTACTACTCCCGTATACTGAGATTCTTAATAATTTACATTTAGGCTGGGTAGCAAGTCAAACAAGGTGACGTTACTTACTTAGTTGACGCTATATGTCTATTAGCTTGTCACTAGGTCGTAAAACATGTCACTTTCCTAATCCCTATTACTGACTTCATTTTATTAATCAAGCTGTAAAAATGATCAACTTAGCATCTGAGTGTACTGTACTTAATATTTGATTATTAAAACCTATAGATAAGATGTATTATAGACTAAGCAACAAAGAACTTCACATAACAGTGCGTCGGTTTAACGTCTTTTTCTAAGCATTTATAACAATAAAAATGTTTCGAGTTTAATATACAAGAAAAGTCAGTGAAAATTGATAGAACACTATGCAAGACAACTGTCTTAGATTCAATTTTAGCAGTCCTCAACAATATATACGCATTGATTCCAGTCATATGGTGTCAAAAACGACACTAAATTCTCGTGTTACCAACCTTTTAAAATGAACTTATGGATCTTTTTGGAAAATTATATGATTCAGGGGGTCCGGATAATTTATCAGACTATCTTTTAAGTTGTAAAATACATCGGTTCATCATTACTAAGTACATATACATCATAGTGTGTTTTGCAAGTGACTTACTAAACATCTTAATTTAGGTGTACCAGTTCACGTAGGTTAGTTAGCCAGCTCAATATGTTGAATTTTTCCGAGTGCATAGCTGACATGCTCACACTACTACTGCAGAAGGTTTGCAAGGAAGAAGACAAAATACCTGCCCACTGATTGGAAGAAGGGCTACGTTGTCAGACTCTCAAAGAAGGGTGACATAAGTCTCCGTAAGAACCGCACGGAATCGTGCTCCACCCCAAGCAAAATACTAAGCTGCATCATCCTGGAGGGATTAAAATATGCTCTGCATTCAAAATTACTACCCGAACAGGCTGACTCGCATCAGGAAATACAAATCATGTGCGGATCAAATTGCAACGCTACGCTACGCATCATCATAGAACAGAGCATAGAATGACAGTCAATTCTCTACCTCAACTTCATCCACTTTGAAAAGGCCTACTATCACTGATCATCTTCCTGATTGTGGTCGATTGGACTGGACTGGATCATGCAACAAACTGCGAGGAGCGAGAAGAGGGGCATACGCTGACTTGACCGATGAAAAGACCCTATAAGGCTTCGATTAAACCACCGATGATGGTTTATGTCTGATGTCTCGTCACATAAACTCGAAGATCTACAGGCGGAAATCAACAAGTTGGCAGAAGAGACAGGGCAGCGAAGACGGGACTCCCTTCAGGTGAATGTAGAGAAAACAGAGGTGATGAGGACACCCAACCAACACAACAACAACAACAACAACAAGCACCAATCATCATTAACAGGAGAAACCTAGAGGAAGTAGTCTTTCACCTACCTACCTACCTACCTACCTACCTACCTACCTACCTACCTACCTACCTACCTACCTAGGCAGCATCGTTTCAACTACAGCCGGCACAGGCACAGATGAGGACGTCAAAGCCAGCATCGGAAACACAGCAAGACAGGCCTTCATCAATCTGAAATCATTGTGGATATCTACTGCACAGAACTGCATTCCACTCAGCATGAAGAACAAGATATGGATTTTCAGCATTAATGTCAGTCTAGTCAATGCTTCAGTATGGTTCGGAGACTTGGCGCGTTACGAAAAACATCTCCCACAACCTACAAACTACAGACATCATACATCAACAGCTGTCACCAACGCTCACTCGATACTCAAGATCAGATTAGAAGGCCATAAATAATAAGCAACAGGAAACTCACTCTGGCTGGCTGGCAACGAACCAACCGACCAACAAATATGCAGAAGAATAAGGTGGAAATGGATTGGATTGGACATACACTGAGATCATTTGGGGACACCATGCACCAGGCCAGGCCGTCGAGTGGAACTCACATGAGAAACAACGAGTTGGGCCTCCAAGGTGAGGGTGACATGGAGGAGATCGTGCGAGGAAGAAATGAAAGCTTATGGGCAGTCGTGGAGCCAGGTTCAAAGGACTTCAGATAACAGAGTGAAATGGTGATGTGCTACTGAAGCCCTATGTTCCACCACTAAGAACCCAAGGGACAAATAATAATGATAAAGATATCCGTTGCTATTTCTAAAATTAGGCATTGCAATGTTCGGCAAACACAACGCATATGAAACTTTACAATCTTGTTATAGCCGTCTGGTTCATAGATGAAGACCATTATATAACTTGAAACTGCGAATAACTTAAGAATAACAGCAAACACGAACGACGGCTTTTTCTTTCGAACAACCTAGTTTTATTCAGTTAACGAGACACTTCAACATGGTACCTGGCATTATATAGTGTGACAGCCCGAATTCCCACACATCACATTAGAATATCAAGGTAGAAGGTGATGAGATTGAGAAATAGGGGAGAAATTTATCGAAAATCGTGAATAGAGAAGAAGAAGAGATGAAATAGGCATGAAGTTAGGCATGATGATTTGGATGATGCGTCGATGTATCTGCACTAATGAGGCCAATCCTTGGTCGTAACACCTACAGTTCCCAAC